GGGCAGGAGATTTATGACTGCATCCCGAATGATTTTGCTCATCAGCGTCACACAAGATTTTTTTTTTGCCCTGAATAAACAGAAGTGGAAACAAACACATGCTGCATATATCAAAATATTTTTCACAACTGAATCCCACATTTTGGATCTTCCTGAAGTCTGTCCCAATCTTTAGATCAGTCCCCTATTTATACTGAGTTGCTGATTTATAAGAAATGCATAACCATATCTACAAATTCCTAAGAGCCAAGGCCTGGCAAAAGTTAAGGGTCTGTATCAAAACAGCCCCTTATGCACTAGCCCTTGTTCTAATCTTACTTATCCCAGCTTTTTCACACACAAAGACAGGAGGGTTCAGTGAAGTCAGAGCATAAACAGACTGTTTAGAAATCCAAATCATGTGATTTATGATTAGGTTATTGTTTATCACAACTACAGGAAGGCTGGGTGCTACAATACAGATGAATACAAAATGGAGCACGTACAAGTAATGCAAAAGAGCATGTCATTAATATTAACTGCTAGCAATTCTAAAGCATCTGACAACAAATCTTCACATTAAACAGTTGGAAGTTCTGGGATAAATGTACTCCTCCTCCTTCCTGGATGCTATTAATCATACAGGATGCACATTATCTTACCTTTTTTCAGATGGGTTCATTAGCAGAGTCTCTGGCTGTGTACTGATCTCTGGCTGTGTACTGATGGCTAAAGGAGGCCTGTTCCTCTAAAATCTCTGGAAGACCTTCAGATGCTCTAGGAGCTGCAAGTGGAAACGGAAAAATACATTATTGTTATGGAGCACTTGTACTACGTGATCCTAGGTATCCCACCCAAACATGCCACACCCTGCACAGAAGATAAGTGATAGGTGCTTTTCTTGAACTGCTGAAGTTACCTCGCCAGACCAGTGACACCACAACATTTACTGGAAGGGGAAGTGGTCACAAGCAGTTGGATACTCAGGTGTGCCTCCACACATCATAGCCACACAAGGCTTTGTTGAGGTGGCTTCAGAGCAGGTGTTTTACTGGGGTCAGGACGAAGGCCAGACTGGCAGATTTTGGAAAAGCATTTCCGTGTGATCACTTTTAAAGCGCAGGATAGAAAAGGCCTGGCAGATCACTTGGCAGGTGCATGAATATTTCTTACTATGCCTTTCTATTTGTTTTCCCATGGACGTTTTACCTCTTCACATTACCCACTCCCTCTGCAGGTCAGTTTAGAAACTGCACCATCAATGATGCAGCACCAGCTGCCGCTACGCCTTTATCAGCAGTCTTCCAGGCAATTTTCCATCCATTAGCGCAACTGTATTGCCCTCTAAATGAACATGAACAATTTTCACTGTTAATATTTAATGAAACACAGACTAACCCATTACACTGAACCATGACACATCCAAGCACAAGAGGAAGAAAACAAATGTTAAGCACGATTTAAATACCCTCTATCAAACAAATTCTCCAAAATGACCAGTAATTTTCAATTTTCAACTTGAGACATGGAATTAGAGCAGATCCACTGGAGGACAAGAGCTCAAAGGTTTCTGAAAAACAGGGCTGCTTAAAGCGTTTCAAGTGGGTCAGGCTGTCTCACCAATCACTGTTGAAATGTAGGCCACTGCACTTCCATTTGCACAGAGGTAACACAGCTAAGTTGTTAGAGTCACTAGGACATAAAACCTTCAAATAAACCCTGAATGTGGAAGCAGAGCTGAAACAGGGTAAATTTATAGTTGGCATCCATATGATACAACTAGCAGCATATGAACAGATGCTGACTTATTGCTATGCTGTTGCTAGACCAAGACCTGTATCTGCTAAAAGATCCCACTCTTGTTGAAAAATACATATGACAATGATGATATCCCATTAATATGTTGAGAGGTATCTATCTATTATTAACTAGGTAATTAGATAATAAACTTCAAAAGAGCATATTTTTTCAAAAAAACTCATTAAAGGATCGTAATTGGCCTACATCAAGCTCTCTGCTGCTACAGCCAGACCTCTCCTAGCAACAGAACCGGCTAATTTAAGGACATTTATTTTCGTAACATGCACCATCATACAGAAATAGTGGTCCATGGGCCCCATGTAGCAGCAAAGGCCAGATCAGGTACGTAAGTCTTTAAGCGTGATAACCTAAAGCCCTTTGTTAGAGTAATAGCAGAGGAAACAAGATACGCCCCTGAGAAGATACCGAAACAGAGGTCAACAGTATGAGTTCCTCAAGGTCAACATAACTGACAGTCTGTGCTTAAGTGCTTGGCTGCCAGGCACTGCAGGCTAAGAGGGAATGAGCATGCAGACCGCTAAGGGAAATTAATCTCCCAGTCTTTTCACAAACGGATCGCCTCAATGAGGTTGTAATGAACATGGAGCAGCTTGCTAGATTAGCGTAGGCTAGCATTGAGAAATACACTGAAGATCATTAATATGCTGGAAGTGGTTAACTACTACTAACGTGATTCTGAAGACAAAGCAGATCTACATTCAAGTACAGCGCTAGCAGTTTTGGGTTGCTCATCTTCTACTCAGCAATTCTAGAGCAATCCTGGGCAATGCCATGTAAAAGCTCACACCTTGGTTTCACTAGCTACAGAAGGGCAATAGTAATACTTACAGTTTAGAGGTGCAAATATAACTTTTTAAGTTCCTACAAAAGGGCACACACATACAGATTTGTAGCTGTTTATGGAGCTCCACAAGCTTGAAGCATGCCTGGAACTAGCTACAACTTTCTGGGCAGGAGCAATACACCTTTAGAACTAACAGAAATTTATCTATATAAAGAAGGAAGTGTTTATTTTGGTAGAACTATAAATTGCCTATCTGATTCCTGATGACAGTGTTTAATAACTGAATCTTGATGTGCAACTGAGGAAGACCTTATAAGCAAAAAATAAAATTAGATGGAAATTCTAGTTCCACATTGGAATACAGAGGTAAGTTGGTTCATACCAACCATAGATGTAGCTGTATGTACAACACTGCTATCAGAGTCTGCTTTTGCTGCACAGAAAATGCCATGCTTTAGAGACAAGGTAGCATGTGAATTACTCAAAACCACATGTGAATAATGCTGTTGTTGAAATTTTGAGGGTGCATGTGGTTCACATAAAAGTAGTGAGGATTTTTTCCCCAGTATCAGAAGATCAAAACTATTTTCTTAATAAATTACTCACAAAGTAAGTTTTGTTAGCTTTTGAATACATTATCTATCCTAATACATTTCAGCACATTAGTTTTGCAAATTAATCCTCTATAAAAAGACACTAGTTCATTTCTCTCAGTAGAATTTTAGGCATCAGAAATCCATTCTAATATATTATGTAAATATCCCAGTAGAGAGCCTTAATAAGTTAATATTTCCAATAAATAACTAAAAAAACCCATGCACATGACTGAAAAAAAGAAAAACAAACTTGGCTTTCTGCTTTCCTTTCACAACACTGCAAGTCATCTTAGGAAGAAACATGCATCCTTATCTTTCACTCCTTACATGTACAAGTCCTGCATGATGGGGATCATGAGGGTGGTCAATACACATCCCCAAGACACTCCAAAGATATCACTGCAAACATTTCTAGAGTTAAAATGCTAATCCAGTAATTTCCCTAAATTTAATGTGTGTGTTGGAGAGCGATTTGATATGTTCATTATTCTCAGCTAGAGGAATTAGCATTGCTGCAGTGATTTGAACGATTCTGCCCACTGTGTCTCACAGTTCCAAAGGTTTTTTGGCTGCAGAATTAAAAGCCTGACAGTTGCTTACAATTTAGGGAGTGAAAGAATGCATTTTTTTAGAACTCCATACTGATGTTATCCAAAAGGACTAGCCTGGCTGTGACACAGAAGGAAGTCTGTGTCTCTTTAAGAACCTTGCCCATGTGTTTCTCAAATAGGGTGACACACACACACCATCCACTGCAGGTGTTGTATTGCTGGTGCGGGTGCTTCAGGAAGGATGCAGCAATCCTTCATTGGCTGGATCATAATCAGGCAGTTTTGCTCCAGTGTTGGTGGTTCAGGGAACTGTAGATAGCTGGGGAACTTGCAGAATATTTTAAATTGGTGGCTTCTTCATATGTTAAAAATAACCTCTTCCAGCAGCCTTTAACTTATCACTCCCCTAGGGTACACACGTGTCCTTGATGCAGCACAAGTTGGTAGAGCCTTGGCATGGAGGAATGTAATTGCTGAAGTTTGAAATTATATTAATCTATTTGCGCAGCAACATGCAACTAGTTTGACACTTTACAAAAAAAAAAAAAAAAACCCACACAAAAAATCCGAACAGATGGGTTTGGTAGGTGCAGGGCATCTCTAAAAATCTGTTCAAAGAGCCTGCATTCCAGCTGAGCAATTTAACAAAGCTAGATCTAGCTGTTAAAATACCGCTATGGAGTAGGGTTAAAAAGAGGGGGATTCCTTATATGCCTCAGCAGGCAATAGCCCATGTAGCTAAGTTAGCACATAAACCAGCACCAGCTATTGTTTTACTGGATTCCTTTGGGGAGGGGGGCTGAGCAGGAAGGAATTTTTATGCATATATGCATACACAAAAGGGCTATTT